GTGAAACCAGCAGTAGATGCCAAGGTGTTGGACTTCCATGCGTCATCAAAGAAAAAGGACGTCGGAGAATATGGTACAGCAAAATCGGCACTAGACAGTGGCTCAATATAATACAGGTCCAAGTGCAAGTGTTTCGGAACACGCAGTTTAGCGGACACTGTTGGATATGGGACTAAGCAATAGGTGTCCCACTCTTTTGTCTGTTGATCAAGCGCTATTGTTGACTACGCCTACAGTTGTACAGTGGAAGACAATTGCCTGGTCGGATAAATCATGATTTGTGATTCATGCATCGATGGTCGCAGCAGGGTGCGCTCTCTTCCAGAGAAACAGCTGCTCCTCCCTGTCACACAGTCTGTGTATGACAGCAGATTATATACAGGCTTGTGGAGGTGGTGTTATGCTTTGGGGAACTTCTCGTGGGCGGCTGTGGGACCCTTAGTTGTAATAGAACAGACCATAAAAGCTGCGGACTATCTGAACATAATTTCCGATCAGTTGCACTCTTACATGCCGTCAGTTTTCCCAGCTGGAAATAGAATCTTCGAGCAAGACAACACTCCATGTCACAAGGCTCGAATTGTGTTCGAGTGGCTCCAGGAGCATAAGGTTGAATTCCAGTTAACTTCCTGGCCACCCAACTCGCTGGATCTTAACCCGATGGAACACATTTGGCATGTCATGGAGCAGCAGCTCAGAGCTTAAATATTACCATGGCGGAAGATCTCGACTTTGCGCCACCGCTGATTATATACTTGGTACAAACTGTTTGCAGTCATCTACCAAGAACTTGTGGCATCCATGCAAAGACGAGCTGAAACTGCTTTGCAGGCCAAAATTAGCGGAACGAGTTATTGAATAGGTCGTCATAATGTTTTTGCTCTTCAGTATATATATATATAATGAAAAGGACTTTTCAGTATTGATGGCGTAGACCGTAAAATGCTGAATCCTTAACGAACACCTGGCTGTAGAGGTATATTAAATATGTATCTTTATTTAAGTTGGAGTTAACACACTTTGTGGCCACACTAAACTAGGCACATTAATCATGCCTGTTTTAGAGTTACAGTTTAGATATTATCGCGATAGGAAGAAAAGCAGTACTTTGTCGTCTTAACGACAAGAAAGCTAGAAGCAAAAAGTGCGCAGTTAATAAAATATAGCAGCTTATTAAGAGAAAGATTTCAGTTTTCCAAATTTTGAGTTCAGATTTAGAATTAGACATCAGCATAACGCAAATCAGATGAGATGGATTGATACAGAAATGGACACAGTCCAGTGTGTCCAGTTAAAAAGTTATTATTGTTTTTACAATAGAGAGGGGGAATTAAGGGCTATTGCTAGTTTGAATTATGATTTTGAAACTGACATATTTTTTATCTTACGTATATATAAAATAGCAACATAAACAAAAAAAGGACTATTAAGAACCTGCACCTAGGCTGCACTGATTTAATTAAACATAATCAATCATAAGAATGAAAGAGGAATACTAGTATTAAAATTCCAATATTTCAATAAAGTAAAAATTATGAAAGGCAATAAAAAAGATAACTAATAAAATAACAAATAATATAAAGATAACAAATTTAAGTTTATATAAATTCCAATTTATAATAGCCGTAGTAGGTAAGGGTAGATAGAAAAATTAAAATCAAATGTAAAATAAAAAAATCGATATTATTTTAAATTAATAAAATATTAAATGTATTTGAAATAATTTTACTTTGAAGGTACTTTAAAAGTAAAAAAAAAAAAGTAGCAGATGGAAAAACTGTTCTACAAGCACTGGCTAATAGTAGCGCAAATGCCTAAAACTGAGATGTAAGAATTGCAAATAATAATTATAGCCATATAAAGAAAATTAACTAAAAATGAACAATTTTAAAGATAGCGAAATAATACTGACTCTTCAGGGGGAATTAACTTATTTGACACACTTTCCAACTGTTCAGACATCGTGCTTCGTGCTTGCTTTCTATACATAAACTAAAAATTAAAACTATACAGAAATATTCAAATCCCCAAATTTAGCTAACTCATATGCATTTCACGAATTCTCATATACGATGTAAATCAGATTGAAAATTATTTGGAACATCATATAAAACGAAAAAAGCATTTTTTAAATGCAAAGAAACCGTTAGAATAAAACGCAAGTATCAAATCAATGATGCGATCAAAACATGTAAAAAATGTGTAAATAAAAGCACGATAATGCAAATGTAAACAAAAGGAGTACACCTTATATTACGAAAATATTCAACTAAATGCAAATGTCATTTCTAAAATAACGAATTAGGCCAGAATAATTTTAAAAGCTATAAAAACTTACTCAGTACATCGTAATTGGTAACTAACAATGAACAGGGTTTTTTTCTTAATTCCAACCCGGCCTTTATTTCCTTAATCGTTCGTCGTTGCCATATAGTGTCAGTTACAGAAGCGTTTTGAATGACGAAAGTATTCAACTTTTTAGCAATTTCAAATTTAAAAAAGAAAATTTTTAGAGAAATCTAACTTCTAAGGCTTCTTCTGTAATGTCTGGACGTTCAAAATGATCCGTATCTTTTAGGTAAAACTAAATATTTTTAAATTCGGGATGCCTTTTCAATTCTTCAATAATTGTCAGCCAGGAGTCTATTTTGGAACTTCTGGTGTAATTCGAATAAACTTTACAACATTGTCGGATTTCGAAGCTCGAAGTAGTCTTGAACTTGGCATAGTAATCACGGCAGAATTATTTGAAAAACACCACAAACAAACAACAATAAAAAAAAAAAAATCTGAAATGTTTCAGATATTAAAATACGTCCAAGGGGGCGATTTTTTAACGTTTTGTGTGTTACCTTTATTTATTAAATATCATATTCTTTGCACTTAAACCATAAAGTTTAGTTCAATAGCAGTCACAAATAATTTTAAAATGAGCCTATCTTTAGAATTTCCGATACACAGTTCCGTGCACTGGATATAAAAAGGTTCCCCTCCCCCCGTAGAGTGTTGCCATGGCTCGCTTTGAAATCCTTGAGTTTATTAATCAGAAATTCTTTAAAGTTTTACAAAATATGAAATTGAGCATAAAACAAATTCCAATTTTCAAATTGGGTCTTCCCTATGCCCATATTTGTAGGAGGAATACGTCATTCAAAATTTGATGGTTCTATGTACCGTTATTTTATCACAATGCGAGAAATAAACATACATTTATGCAGATTTTTCATTATTTTAATTTCTTCAAATATAATGCAGGACTCTAACATTTTGTGGCAACAGTTTGAAACGTGAACCGACACTTATAGGAGTCCGACACAAAACGGCAAAACGAAAGTAATAGTCCTTAGGGACTCAAATCCCTTTGGACTAATAATTTCTTCGTCCGATCTCTTGCAGTAAAACAAATTAAAAATCTGGATTTTCCTAAAGATAAAGTCTGTCAAGTCCTCGATTCGATTTTGTTATGGAATTTGCTAAATAGCTCCGACTCAAGCTTGGCCCTATTCTTCATGATGGGAAACGCTTTAATTAATGCCTGATTTAAGTTCACGAAGTTGTGGCTTTCGCTACCAGGCTCACTATCATGTTGAAGATTGGCCTCTAAAGGATGGTGATTTTCTGCGCTTCTTGAACTGGATGCAGCAGAAAATGAGTATTTATTTAACAGTTTATTAAAACTCAATACTGAGGTCTTTCCATCAAAAGTTGTTGCTTGTTTCATAGCAGCTCTAAGTGTGTCAACAAAGTTGAAATCTCTCCATGGGATTCACCATGGCCGACGGTGCTTGCGACGTTCATGGAAGATGCTGAAATGTGAAGTTTCCTTTGATAGTTCTTATTGTTCGGGCTGGGTAACATAAACATCTGCTTTGCTAGCATAAACTAACGAGCACCAGAAAGACTGTAGAGGAATTATTCTCGTGTTTTTAAGATGTAGAACAGACAATGTCAGAAGAATGGCGTTAATATCCCTTTTATTTGAATACAAAGTTGATCCCACTTTATTTTGTATAAGCCAACACTTCGGGCTTAACTTAAAAAAGTAATCTTGAACTTAAAATAATATGTAATTACACTAGTCTAACTGCTCACAGTATAACGTAAACGAGCAGGAAAGATCTGGCTTCTATTTTGAATTGTTTTACACGTTGCCATCCACACCTTCACTACAAAGACAATTAAATTAAGCATTTTGATGTTTTCCAAGGTTTTCGGATATTGAATTAGTATTTTTACTTATTAACTCTTCGTATAAACTTTGTGAATAAACATACCAGAAGAGCAAAATAATTAAACAAAAATTTGGAACCTTTTTTACAGCTCAAACAGTTTTATGGTTTTTCTCTGCATATACATATTAGCCAGTTTTCCTCCGAAAATCTCTCACAAAGGCATTTTTCCTCTCAAGCAGGTAATCCTTGCATGCAGTTTTAAAAACAGAGAAGAATCACGAGAAATCGAACTGATCGATTTCTTGGGCAAATGGCAGAGATGATTCGTCTCGTACAGTCTTTTAATTAAATCATCTGCAGTAGTAGAGGACTACGCTATTAACAACAAAAGTTAGAAAAGCTCTTTAGAATTTTATGAAGTTATATTTAATACTTTCAACTCGTACTGACTCGGAATCTTTTACTTCGAACTTGCTGGTTCTAAAATAGTATGCCGTTCGAAATCCAAGTCATAAATTAAGTATTAGTTAAAATAATTTTCTTATAACTTATTATATAATCTGAACCCAGAAAAATTGAATTCTTTTAACACAATAATTCGCTAGATGTTGCATAATTTTTTAATTATATAATAATATAAGCTTTCACAATTTCTTCGATTATTTTTATAAATTCTTAAAAATTCATACATTATATGCTAGTATTGTTAACAAAAATAAAAGATGGTATCTTTCTAGTTTAATTATTTATACTGAATGCAATTTTGTTTTTAGTTGCAATTTCTTTTCTTACAAGATATTCTATATGATAATATCTCTTGCTTTACAGAACTATAATTTTCATGCAAGATGAATACCTCGGGCACAGACTTAAATGAAATGGAGCTGAAAATGTTGAAGGAGGTAAGATATTGCCAGATGTATAATAAAAATTATAAAAAATGTGAAATATAAACTTCGATAAATGAAATAATGCACTGCTGGCCATTAAACTCGCAACACCGTAAAGGAAAAGAAACACACACACACACACACACAAAAAAAAAAAAAAAAAAAAAAAAAAAAAAGGGTATTTATTGTACGTAAACAGTAAGGCATGAAGACAAAAGGACTAAATTTGTAAGCAGTTTAGGTTTTTGCAGAGGGACGAAATTAGTAGAAACAGCTGCCACCCCTGGCAGCTAAAACTCTTTTTAACCGGTTAGACATAAACCGAACTGGGCTTGGAGGAGAGAAATGAGCAACTCGTTCCATACTGCTCTAAATCTATGCCACACTTTATCAACCGTATTAGCTGGAAAGAAATGTCGGGTCCGTCTCTCAGGAACCCACGACCAGGTGTTTGCAATGGGTGACAGATTAGGAGACCATGCAGGCCAGAGCAGCAATAGGTATAAATCTTAGGATCTATTAAAGAAATAAAAATTATACATGTTAATAACACCTTGTGCTGTCACTGCTGATCTTTATTACAATAAAATTCCATACAGTCTGCTCTCTTGGATTGGGTAAAATTCGTGAAATTTATGAAAATGAACTTAACACCACTCAGACAACCAATTTTCTTAATCATACCACCTATAGCTTAAGTTATACTGCGTTTAAAATTAGAAAATTACAATAAAACTTTTCTCAATTAATTTATTTATACATATAATAACAACAGTAATCCCAAATATATATTTTCATTTTTTTTGTCAACTCCATCACATAAGTCATGTATACATCCTTTGCTATTTTGGCAGTGAATCATATTCTCTTCACCGTCTTCCTCACAAATATTAGGTTGTCCGGAAAATAATGCAAGTTTTTAACCTATATCTTTAAAGTATCATAATTCAACTCAAAAACAATTTTATTAATCAAAAAACGTACCAGCCAAATCAATGCATTTTTGCCAAAGAGATATAAGTTTATTTATGCTAATAGAATAAAATTCTGGAGTTCTGGACACGATAAAGTTGGCAAATGCGTTTTTGACCTCGTCTTGGTTTCTGAAGCATTTCTTCTGCAGAGTATTATCCAGATGTTTGAAAAAGTGGTACTTGGTCAACGAGAGGTCAGGCGAATATGAGGGAAGAGGGAAAGTTTTGTATCCAAATTCTTTCAATTTCTGAAGGGTCAGTTGCACGACGTGCGGTCGAGCATCGTCATGGAGAAGAACTGGCCGCTTCCTGTTGACCAATGCCGAGCACATGCGTTCCAATTTTCGGTGCATTTCGTTGATTTGCTGACAGTACTTATCTGCCGTAATCGTTTCGCCCAGATTTAGGAAGCTGTGATGGATGAGACCGGCCGCACACCACCAAGCAGTCACCATAATTTTCTTTTGGTGCAAATTTGGCTTTAGAAAGTGTTTCGGTGTCTGACCGCTGTCCAACCACTGAGCCGAATGTCGCCAGTTGTTGGAGAGAATCCACTTTTCATAGCGCGTAACAATTCAATCAAGAAAAGGATCGTTTTTGTAGCGGAGAAGAAGAGCAGACGACACTTCAAAACGGCGATTTTTTTTTTTTTTTTTTTTTTTTTTTTTTTTTTAATTTTTGCTTTCAGTTCGTGAGGCAACCACTTATCGAGCTTCTTTGACTTTCCTATACGATTCAAGTGATCAAAAATCGTTGTTTTGCTTACGCCAATCTCCTCCGCGAGCTCTCGAACAGTTGTGCACGGGTTCGTTTTCAGCTTAAGTCTTCAAATCATCGTCATCAACAGCTGAAGAGTGTCCACGACGCTCTTGATCTTCCACATCAAATTCCCCACGACGAAACTTTTGGTACCACCGTTGAACTGTAGATTCATTAACACTTTTCTCGCCCCATACTTCGTTGACATCTCGAGCCGTTTGTGCTGCGCTGTGTCCTAGCTTGTACTCATAAATGTAAAAAAAAAAAAAAAAAAAAAAAAAAAAAAAAAAAAAAAAAAAACAAAAAAAAAAAAAAAAAAAAAAAAAAAAACAAAAAAAAAAAAAAAAAAAAAAAAAAAAAACAAAAAAAAAAAAAAAAAAAAAAAAAAAAAAAAAAAAAAAAAAAAAAAAAAAAAAAAAAAAATTTGCAAAAAATCCCGTTTTGACATCTAAACAAAAACACCTAGTAAATATTTTTTATTAATTTTGGAACAAAATGATTATTATAGAAATATAGAGCGAAACTAGAGCTTCAAAATGATATATAAACCAGTGTAATTCAAAATATTTTTGTTGCTAAAACTGTACGGAAAAGATAAACAATTTCAAAAACCTGCATTATTTTTCGGTCAACCTGATATTACTGGGAGACGAACACGATGTAAAATAAGATGGTCGGCTAGGGGATAACTTGTTTTGCCGAAGAGGTGCAGTTGTGGAGCTATTACACCCTAATATATAAGAGCAAGAAACAAGCAGTGGTACGACTTTGCGCAACCTTACCCTATGTAGCAGTATGTAGAGATCTTTCAATGCTACCAGCATTGAAAGATCTGTGGTTTGAAATGAATGCATGCAGTCGATTCTTGCATTTCGTGATTTCGAAAAATCTAATGTTTCTACAAGCTGATAAACTTGGAACCGCTATATTTAAAACTTTTTAGTTGAAAATATTTCCTATAAAAATGATGCTCAAAAACTGTAGCTGAGGACTTACTTTACATTGAATTACAAAGTTAACTTTCTCATTAAAGTATTTGATTTGTAAAATTTGTGTTACTCTTTTATTTGAGAGTCTAATAATACTCACAGCACTTTTCACTTTATTAATTAGTTTCGTAAAGCCTTATCAGATGTCCTGACGCCGAAACACACAGACGCTATACTGTTGAAATGGCTCAGAGGTAAGTTTTAAATTCCATCAATTTATATTATTTCTAACTGTCGAAATGCGAATTGTATACTAAATCCTTGTTTAGAATGAGCGCAATCATTTAATGGAATAAATTTTCCATGGTAGCGGATTATACCATACTCTTGTTTAAGCTATAGACAGATTTTGTTCAGGTGACTTATCTCATAAATAACTTATATATCCCAAATTATCCTGTCTTTCTTAGAAAACTTTCTATATCTCAGTGTATATGAAAACAGAGTAAGAGTTCCCCATAAAACAGAGTAAGTTTTCACATCCCTCGAACGTTAGAAGCCCAATCGGGAAACAGTATTATTTCATCAGAGAGAGATATTATACGAATTTTCTTTTCTATGAAGGTAGCCATTTTGAAGAACTTGACTATTAATAACTGTGGTTAAGTTTTCATATACCTCGAACTTTAGAAACCCAATCGGGAAACAGTATTATTTCATCAGAGAGAGATTTTATACGATTTTTCTCTTTTGGGAACGTAGCCATCTTGAAGAACTCGACTACCAACGACTGTGGTTAAGTTTTCATATACCTCGAACATTAGAAGCGCAATCGGGAAACAGTGTTAGTTTATCAGAGAGAGATTTTATACGATTTTTCTTTTCTAGGAATGCAGCCATTTTGAAGAACTTGACTGTCAATGACTATAATTAAGATTTGTACAAAGACTGTCTCATTAAAGGCAGGCTTTTGAACTAAGCTCGTGAATAAATTTCAAAATACATAAAATATATATTTCATAACAACTCTTTACACTGTAAACACAGTTAAAAGTTTTAAAATAATGCTTATTAAAATATATTCATAAGAAGTCTGCCTACTTGAAATAGTTTTTTTCTTTAGTTCTTCCTATAAAAGCATTTCATATATAAATAAACTTCATATGCAATAAAAATTCATTTACGTTAGTAAACCAAATTATTATTCTCTACAGTATAAACATGTTTGGATGTATAAACATGTTTCTTAACATGTTTGGATGATCTAGAACTTCATTATGAAAGCAGTCAGTGAAGAAATTTCAAACATTTAAATTTGCAAACCTTTCAAACATATCTTCCTCCCAATCATCTCTAGTCTAAGTTCGTTATCTCGCATGAGATTCTTATCAATGTTTATACCTAAATCTTCAAATTCGTTTTCCTAAGCCTCGTTTCTAATCTGTATAAACAGAGCCTGTCATCCAAGATTTCCCTTTCGCATATCTTTCGAGTATAAACTTCTGTATACTGATATTTTGAAGATATTTGGGTTATAATGCATTGCTCATTATTAAGGAAGTTCTTTATTTTGGAAGTGTTGACACATAGCACAATGATTAATCTTTTTTAGCCCAAAAGAAACTATTAGTCTAGAAATGGAATTTTGCATCGGTTCACTATAAACGCCATATACTTTTTCAGATAGTTGCCACCAAATATGATCGCCTTCTATTATTTTTAAAGAAATAAAGTAATAAAGAATCTGCATGTATGTATGTTACCTGCACTGTTGAAAAATGGCCATCAAATTCCGAATAACGTAGTCGTTCACCCGAGCAAGGACACCTGGAAGCCGGAATTTTGAATTTCGATTTTTTTTTTGTTATATATTTCATAATTTGTAAACTTTTATCAATTTTTGATTAACAAACTCGGTGATTTAGAAGACAGCAGGGGCAAAACTATACGGAATAAAACGCTTTTATCTCCAGCTGGCGAAAATGTCTGTCGGAAGTTCTAAGGATATACTGTTTTTAATATTTTGCGATTACTTTGTTGAATCGAATTTCATGTGGCGTAAGCACTAAGAACGTGATATGCAATAAATAAAGTTCACACGAAAAATGTTACTAATAAAAAGACAAAAAAGTTTCCTAAACCATCTTACTACGGAACCAGAGCACTGATATGATAAATTGAGAAAAGGCTTAAAAAAATAGAATAAAGCATGTCAACATTTTTATCTCCAGCTCGTAAGAATGTCTGTCGGAAATTCTTAAGGTATATTGTGTTTAAAATATTTTGTAATTTTGCTGTTGAATCGAATTTTATGTGACGTAAGAGCTAAGTGCGTAATATTTAATAAATAAAATTAACACAAAAAATTTTAATTATAAAAAGACAATAAAAAAAGAGGTTCGTAAGCTATCTTACTAAGAAAACAGAACATTGATATGATAAACTGAGAAAAGACTACAAAAATAAAAATAAAAAATCTGATGTATACACAAAATGACTTCCTTGTACGGAATATTAAATTATACTCATTTTTCTTGCATTTCATTTAAACTTATTGGATTGAATTAAATCTACTTCGCCGACAGCGAATAAACCACAATAGAATAAATGCATTCTTTAAAATTCACTCTATTATTTGTTTACCATAGTGACACTCTGGCGCTAGATTTATTTAACAGTATTATATATCGTTCATATTATAACTCAGAATGCACAAAATTTATATCATTTAAGGAATAGAATTATCTAATCGTTGCCACATATTTTATTCAAATACTATACTAAAGCTAAAACGATGTATAAAAGAAATTAAGCAAACAAAACGAAAAAGAAACAGTTTTTCACATACGGTTGAATATTTCTTATTAATTAATTCAGTTCTTACTTCGCGAGAAGGCAAAAATACATAAAAACTCAAAATATCTATATTAAAATTACGAAGTAAATCTTAAACACTTATTTCCTCGAAAAAAATTCCAGAAAGGATTAAGCATGATTTAATTGGCAATAATAAATGAAGGCGTTATCTTTGTTGTTGCGAAGCTAAGTTTCTCTAGATTGGCAAAAAATCCACTACTCTGCTGTTTCAAATTTAAACGATCAATGGCCGCCATAAAAAAAAGTCTTAGCGGCACTTAGACAACTTTAAAATTGTTGATAATTCTAAAAATATTGCATACAGATTTACTAAAACCATAAAAACCTTAACCGGAAGATAAAAACAACATAATTCAATCATTTTTGAAAGCAAAAAATGTACAATTTACAATTATATAAGAGTAAGGAAACTGAGATCACTGAACCGGGTAACAGAGTGGATATATATATAAATATATTTATATACGTTTGGTGCGGCCTATTGCAACCAAAATTCGAGGTGCACATCTACATGTTATAGCAGTCCTATATACAAAATTTCAACGTTCTGAGGCTACTCGTTTTTGAGTTATGCGAGATACGTACGTACGCACGTACGTACATACGCTCGTACAGACGCCACGAAAGATTCTCTTCAGAATTAATTTTAAAGCAGTTTTATAATTTTTTTGGAGGAAACGAGTCTTTTATTCTGTCCTTACGTACAGATATCACGCAAAAAACATCGCTAAATTGCATTCGATAGCGGTTAAAATGGATATTTTCGTTGAAATATGCTGCCTGAAACTTTTCGCGATTACAATACTTCCTTTTTTCTTCGTACAAGGAAGTAAAAATGCATGTCAACAACACTTCAAAAATTCACCTTAACCATATGGGTCAAAAACACTGTTTTGGGCTACAAATGTTTTAACTCAAATGCTATTCGTTCTAAATTTTTCAATTTCAAATTTTTATGCATAATATGCAACATTTTCTTCAAGACGATTAATGAAGATCTTTCTCATGATTAGAGACTGTAAGGAAAATTATTTACAGCTTTATTATATTCAGAAATCAAAGGAATATTTTCAAGCATCTTTGACCTTGGCTAGTGGCTCCTGATCTCGGGCGTATGACGTAAATACTGTCATTAAAAACGTGTTTAAGTTGCAAAATCTAGCTTGAAAACATCTAATCGTCTCCATTCTTGGGAGTTTTGATTTTCTTATTTAACCTTTCTCGTTCAAGGTCCGCAGATATTTTTTCATGCACTTTTCTTGACAGAGAGTAGGATCGTAGTTTCGTAAAAACAAAAACCTGTAAATTAATCCACTGAGGAAACGTGTAATGAAACGCAATATGACCTTTAATGATGACCGTTTCTTTTGTTAAAGTAAACATCCTCTAACATGCAAACGAATAAGAAATTATTCCATTAATCTTAAATCTTAGTTGCGATTATTTGTATTACTTAACTGCTGTTTATACTTATCTGATAAAACCTGATTATGAGTGTAACATCAGTTTGGAAATCAGAAGATATCTCGTTTAATTTTCCATATCTTCAGTTCAAATACGAAATTAAAGCACCTAAAATACTTTTCTACCATTAAATTACTATTATTCATTTTCATTTCTATTACGAAAAATTAGGGCCACCAGCGGCCGAGCGATAACGTCGCTAAGCACTGGTAGTTCGGTCCGACGTTCGAATCCCGCGAACGGGCTGGCTGCATGGGTTTTCGTGGTTTTCTCCATGTGTATACGAGCCAGTTTCCCTTAAAAGGTCCTCCACGAAGGCATCTCTTCCTTAAGGCAGATAGCCTTCGATTGCTTTGCCGTAATCTAATAAACCCTTACGAAAAATTATTTTCCTGAAAAATTAGTTTTCTTTATCAATTGATTTTTGGCAACATGATTTAGTAACTTCTATTATTAATTATTGTTTACTTCTTTTTCAAATAATGTGTGCATATTCAAATTTTAAACCGAATTTTCATATTTCTAAAAATTATATTATGTCGTTTTCTATTTTTCTCAATATTCATTATCATGAAGGAATCATGAGTAAAATTTACAATTAATTTGCGTTAAATGGGTTCCTATTCATTGCAATGATTTATTATTTGATACCTTATATAAATTTGAAATTCATATAAATATTAAATAATAATAATGGAATTAAAGATGTAAAACTTATAATTTTTTCTCTCTTACTTCAAATGTTTCAAATCGCTAATAATGCAGTAAAGTTTTTATTTGGTTTGATTAATTGATTAAAATAAGGAACAAGAGTGATTTCTGTCTGAGGGAAGGGATGTTTTCGTGGAGAATTGATAAGGTTTTATATTAATTAATCCATTATCTTATTATTTTATCTTTGCTGCCACTTTTGTTGGCTCCCAATAGAATACAAGTTAGTTAACAAGTATATAAGAAAAGAGTTCTCGAATTTATTATAAAAACGAAAAATGGCAATGAAAAATGACCTTCTTATTGTTCCTGGCTCAGCTCTTAGGATTGGCTCAATCGATTTTAGCCTTTTGCTCCTCCCTTCCAGACGGTAGAGTGGTTAATAGAGCCAACTGCGATACTAAAGGGCCCGGATTCAAATGCTGGAGAAGGCATAGTTGTAACTGTCCGCCCCCCTATTCATAGGAGGCAAAAGTGGCTCACCTTTTAGTGTCTCCATAATAAAGTGATCACTGCTTCTGGCCTTAGTAGCGGCCTAAGTCTATGATTTGTGCCCGCCTTTGGGGGAAAAAATTAGCCTTTTGCTAGCTGTGTTGCTCACGTAAGGCGTAGCAATAAATTACCTGATTATATACATCGAAATCAGAATTTAGTGTTGTAATTTTTAGAATTCCATGCAAGCATTCTAACTGAAACTAGCTCGTATTTACATCACATGCAGAAAACATCAAAATGCCGGGGTTTGAATCCGATTCAAGCTGTCATTGTTCAGCGGTCTTAACTGCTGGGACTGGGTACGCAGTCATTCCATACGAACATCAGTATTATCAAGTATTACCAACTGTTTTCGTCAAATTTAATTTATGTTTTAAGAAAAATGTTAATAAATAATCCTACTATTATTTTTCCAAAAGAATGTTTATTTACAGCTAGTATTTAGCAGTTTTTTGTAATCAGGATTGTAATACCAGTTATCTCTTAAAAATAGCTGGAAAGATTTGTCTTAATTCTTCCATGAGAAAATTAAATTTTTTTCCCTTTATTAAAACACATTGGGAAGAAAGAATTTAAGTCTTAAGTCTTTACATTCTAGTTTTGACTGAAAAATTAAACTAGAGCTCTCATTCACTAATTTCGACTAACAAATACTATAGTCATTCTATGAGCTATGAATAAATGTACTCTGCGGAAAAAAGAGGGGGCCATCTCCCGTTCTAGTGGGCCGATAGACGAAATTTAACTTGCATTTATTCATGTCTCGAAAGCGCAACTTTAGGATATATATTAGATTTATATATAGCATTGCTCTAACATAGGTACTTCACACAAAATGGGACTTTTTCTGAAATAACATACCGATTTTTTTTTTCCTTTTTCCGATTCTACGACCCAAATTAGAGCTAAATATTAAATTTTGTAAAATTTGGTGCGAAATTTACGGAGAAATTAAAAAATTTAACTTGGCGCATTTTTCCAGTTTGCGACAAGAATAATTCACTGGGCGAACTTCTCAATATATAGCAACCTATTTTCCATTCCCTTCCATTGTGCAGAAGCGTAAAAAACGTCACATCGTTCCTACCTTTCTACATTGTGGATGAGCGGGAAAAAAAATTTCACATCGTTCCTATTTTCAAATAACTTTAACAAAGTGCCTAAACTACATTTGATGTTATTATCGCTTTCAACAAATATGCCAAATTTCAAAACGCGCCAATATACAAATTCAAGTATATCTTCGGAAATTTTGATTTCTTTTTTTTTCCCCGCAGGTATGCTTAGGAATACATCTACTTTAAGATGATGGTAAAAATTTTATAGTTTGTAGTACAAAATATTTTTCGAAAAATTTATAAAAGTTATTTAAAAATGAATCATAAAAAATGGGCGAATGTTATTTGGAATGAACCTAAATTTCGAAATGTGAAAGAAAGAATCAAATAAATTTAAAAAAAGAGAGATTAACAAATATATACCAAACTCAATTAACACTGAGAAGATAAAATTTTGAGGGCTAATTTTTTAAAAACTACTGGTGCGACTTTTACAAAACTTTGCAGTTTGGCGTAATTTGGGTCGTAGAATTGGAATATGGAAAAAAATTGGCATGTCATTTCAGAAAATGTCCGATTTCGTGTCGAAATACCTATATTTGAATGATGCTATATGTAAATCTAATACATATCCTAAGTCGAGCTTTCGAGACATGAAAAACGCAAGTTAAATTTCGTCAATCGACCAAGTAGAACGGGATATATAAAACTGCCCCCCCCTTTTTCCCCGCAGTATACATGAAATCGACTGTATGGTTGTGAGAGAAATTAAGTAAGGATACGAAAGGACGAAAACTGGAAGCATAAGGCAATCTTCATATGAAAAATATGAAGAATATTATCATAGCGAATATTTAATTTTCAGCGTTCCTTGCTTAATTTCTTGATGCCATTTCAATAGATCATTGAGGATTAGGTATGCTGGAAAAAAAAATCTCTAGATAGCCGGATCGCTATCTAAGTTTAAATTGTAGGAGATGGACAGCTCGCTAGAGAGATGTTGAACTAGTCTGAACTTTAATAAAATTTCTTACAGGAAAATTCCAATAGCAACTACAGTTTAATTAGAAAGACACAGTATGGAGTTCTTGATATCGGCAACATGACGTTTTCTAGAGCAGCAGGTTTATATAGTTCGTTACTATAAACGCAAATCAAAGTCAATGCCTTAGTTCAAATAACTAAAACTTTAAGAGGGCTCATACACCTAAAATCCCTTATGAGCTTCGAATATGTGACGGTTGCAAGAATTGGTATATTTTATTAATTTTAAAAGCAATTACTTCCAACTTTTCACAGCTGACTACATAATATAGATGCTTTGGGAACTAGTAACCAGAAAATTTGTGTTGCCACAAATATTTTTATAATTTAATCCGGTTTGTGACAAAATTTTTCGTCATGTTTCGACCTTACGTGCGTGATATTTTAAAAATGGCTAATGAAATTTGATGGAATTCTTTATATGGGCACTGTTTTCAAACTGAATCTAACATCTGATGAATATTTTAATATTAAAAATTTTATGCACGAAAAATTAACAGATTTTTTTAAATAAAATACGTTTTATAAACTCAACTGCAAATAAAATAAAAACTTAACTTTAAATTCTTAGGATGTTTGGTTCACAGTAGTTTCCAAATGTTATAAAAGGTATATATTAAATATGGAATTAAATTATGCAACAGAATGTTTTTAACTGTGCGCGCAAGGTGGAAACATTATCTTATTATTTTAACTTTTGTCACAAAGTGGATTAAATTATAAAAATATTTGTGGCAACACACACTTTCTAATTATTATTTCAGAAAGTAGCTATATTATGTAGTCAGTTATAAAAAGTTGGAAGTGCTTTTAAAATAAATAAGTTATCCCAATTCTTGCAACAGTCGCGTATTCGAAGATCTTATGGGTTGTAAGGTGTACGAGTCCTCTTAAAATTGAAAAACTGTGTATGCAGTACTGTGAAGCCGAAGCCCTTTTGAGAATATATAAGTGTCATTAACTATGTTAATCAGCTGGATTATTTATATTACAATATGTTTCTTCACCCTCTTCTTAAGATAAATGGAAATCATGGAATAAAAAATTGTACGTTGATGATACTGATTGCAGGAAAATACCAAAATGAATCAGTTAATCCATATATAAATAATTTTGCTGCTTATAACACCGACGGTTTGTTCTCTCAAACGTAAATTGAGAAGAACAAATCGAGAAAATGGCTACAAAAGAACAGCGATGGAAGTCAAACCTGAATGATGTCTGACGTATTTTTTTTTATTACGTACTTAAAGGGAATGAGGTATTATTCCATTAACTTGTAAATGTTATTCTTTACTTCAAATAGTAGAATGACAATTAGCGGATTTTATTTTTATTATGTACTTTAGAGGAATGCGGCTATGTTTATTAACTTGTCAACGTTGCTTTTTACTATAAAAGCATTAATTTAAACTTAAAGTGAGACCTTTTTGTTTTCTCTTTCAGCTCGAAATTTCAATCTGAAAAAGTGCGAGTTACTCTTCCGACAGGTTTGTTTTCTTTACGTTAATTCTCGCATTTATGTTTTCGTTGACATTTCAGTATTTTACATAAATAATATGTTTGCCACTTTTTTAGAAATGAATTATTCTTGCATAAGTACCGGTTGGAAAATTTAATTAGTCGAAAATGTACAAAAACTATCTGCTTGAACTCCAACCCAGTAATAACTCAGAATATGGAAAAAATTAAATCACCATTTTCAATTTTGATGATATTTAAACCATTATTGTTTTGTCTTCTGCAAGTTAAGTGAATGAGACTAATGAATACATTAAGTTTAGCTCAGACTCTAATCCAGCAAACAGGCTAACATTAAAAGCATCCTCCAATCACGAACAAGAGTTTAAACTCTTGTTCATTCGATTGGTACAAAACACACGAGGTCGACAGCCCTCCTATGCTTTGTCGCAGAGGAATAAACAAGAAAAACAAAAAGGTGATATTTATTCATTTTAAAGTTAAAAATTCTTTTAGAATTTGTTTAAACGAAACCGACCACAGATAAATGGTGAAAGAAACCAAAAATGGTTTCAAAGGAATAATATAAGACAGTACAAATATCTAGCACTTACAGTTCAACTAGCATTTCTGTGTTAATAGTGAACAAAACATTAAAAACTAGATTTTATCTTTTAAACGTAAAAGTCATGATATTGAACCTCTCTCTTCACAGACATCTGAACGAATTTTTTTTCCTGAAAAAGTTAATAATCATACAAGTAAACTAACGCTAAATATTTAAAAACTAACAGTGTCATCGTAAAAGAGTTTCTGAAGGAAACTGAATTGTGTTTCCCTTAAAGTAAAGTGTTTATTTTCTGGACAATTGATAAATGGTTTTATACAGGGTGACTCAAAAGGTTGTTGCGAAACTTAACATGCTGGTCTGTCACACCATAACAAACAAAATTTACATAGGAACTTGTGTTCGAAAATGCAAACGTCGACCGCTAGAGGACAATGTTCGTAAGCGTATGGGAGAGTGGGAAGTGTGATCATTTCAGGCGAGAACGTTGAGAATAAATCTGTTTACTAACACAGTTCTTGATGAACAATTTATGACATTTTGTGGAAAGAGTGTTGCCGGATCTCTTGGTTGACTCAGCATAATGTAGAACCTGCCCGTTTTAGCAACACTGTGCGGGAATACCTCAATAAGACACATCTTGATCACTGGATTGGTAGATGCAGACCACTCTCATGGCCACCGCGATCCCCCGACCTGACGCCCCTGGTTTTATATCTGTGGGGATATATGAAGTCTATGGTGTACGAGGTGACAATAACATCCGCGGGTCCGTGAAGCCATGCGTCGACCTTGTGAAGCATGCAGTTTGTCGAAAAAAAAAATTGAACATTTTCTATAATTTAAACATGTTTTAATACATGTCATACTAATACCTCTTCCGACACCCTTTCTTTCTTCCTTTCTACGCTTGCGAACATTGCCCTCTAGCGGTCGCCGTTCGCATTTTTGGACACAAATTCCTGTGTAAATCTTGACGATACGACAGACCAGCATGTTAAGTTTGGCAACGACCTTTTGAGACACTTTGTATTCAATATGATAATAAATAAGTTTATTTAACTACATTTATTTCAGAGCAGTACTTTGTAATTCTTCTTTCAGAATCTATGGGGGAGAGCTGTTTATAAAATAGATACACTGAGAAGTAACTTTATAAAACAGGAAGTAAGTACACTCATGCAATTTTTAATAGTCTGTTTAATCACAATAATCAAAGTTAAGAGTCTCGCAATTTCAATCGATGTCTTTTAACATTATAATATCGTGTATGCTTGGCTATCATAAATTTCATTTGACGTTGAAGCATATTTAGTGAATCATCACGAAATCTTTATAGTACTACAAAGTCAGCAAAAGGTTGTAAAGACCCCTTTATTGAATCAAATAAAGTTCACAGTCGGCACCAACTGGTGCTTACAAAAGCCAGTGCTTAACTCCAAAGGTAATGAATAACTTAAAAGTAATGGAGTTAAGTATGGCCTGGTGACTCGCAGATTAACTATCGCGCAAGCTGGCTGCCTAATATCTTGCTAGAATAGCTCAATGCCGCTGAAATCTATTCTCTGGAGAACTGAAGATATCAACGTGGCCTTCAAGCAGGCAGAACACGCTTTGATTTCACCTTCCAAAAGCTTCTCTTAAATACGAACTTCTTTCTTCCTCATTTGAATACACGCGCGCTAGTGCGCTAGTCAATTTGGATTCTGCCAAGAAAGCGTGAGTTGAAAGCAAGAGCGATAGAAAAGCTGCTTAAACATAAAATAAGTTTTAAGTAAATTAAATCAAACTCTCTCTCTCTCTTCCAGTATCATCAAGAATGCGTTATTTTGTACCAAAAATAATTGTATTGAAGATAATAAAAGATACTTAATCCTTCAATGCGTGGTGATGCCTATATGAATCATATCGATCTTTACTGAATTTAGCATTAAAAATTTACAAAGCAAACGATTTACTGGGCTTATTTTTATCCTAATATATCTATATCAATGTTTAGCTGTTCTTTTCCCGAGTAGGTAGCAAAATAAAACTGTACTCTGCATTTCATTTGTGTCAAGAACACAGAATTCATTTCTGCTTTTTCGGTCGTCAAGCTAGCTTTGTGCTCATAAATTCGATATTAGAAGCTTAAAAATTTTATTCTACATAGCTGAAGGTATGCACTTCTCATTTTTGTGTTAAGCTTTAACCACGGAATTGTTTTAAAACGAAATATGAAATTTTTTCTGTTTGATTCATATATGCATCACTATGCATTTATGGTTAGGCTTCGCTCTAGAGTGCAGTTTGATGCATATATGAATCAGGTTAAAATTTCGAGTGGAATTTTAATTATAAGACTTCATAACACCTTTTATTTCATGTTTATTTTTATATCAGCAATACCCACTCGATATTTGCATGCATTGTTGTCATTTAGAGTCATAAAATATATTTTTGTCTCTAATTATGTAATATGTATATTGCTTATTTGCATTGAAAATTCCTTTGACCTTTTTTATTTGTGTTCATTTAGTGAGTAATTTTTTAAAATATCTTTTGTGTGGTCCCGATTTATTTGCTCACAAATTTGATGTATACTCAGGGCAAGAAAATCTACCTCACAACTGCTTAACAAATGAGGCAGAACTGGAAACCAGCGGAAGTATTGTGATTATACTTTCCAGAGAGATTCCTCGAAATCAAAATTTCAAATTGTATTTCTACAACTTTTATACTTCAATTGACCTAATGAATTATGTAGCTGATGAGGACATTCTTTGTTTGGGAACAGTGCGTAGGAGCAGAATTCCAGTTTGCAAGCTCCCTACAGATGAGCAGCCGAAGAAAGAGTCCCCTCAACGTTGAATACGTTGCAGTTTGTGGTGGAACTGAAATATGTAATTTATGTGGAAAGAAGATTAGAATTTGCTCCTGTTGTCTACGTTTGCTGGTAAATACCTCATTGAACAGATATCTAGTTCCGATAGGAAGAAACAAAGAGAGCTACTGTGGACTGTTCAAATGTTGTGAAACGATACAACAAACAAATGGGGGACGTAGATTTGCTGGATAGCCACATAGGAGGATACAAAATAACTGAGATCCAAAAAGTGTTACGTGGTCTTTTTTTCCTACTTCTTAGAGCTTGCGGCCATAAATGCGTGACTGCTGTACATGAAAGTGTCTCTACAGAATGAAGCCAATACAAGGATTTGTTAAACCTGGCCGCCTTCCGGGTTGGTTTGGTACCGAAATGGGTGAAAGTTCAGTTCTTAAGCGTGGAAGACCGAGCGATCTTTTACAAACTGATTACAATGTGAAAAGACAGAGAGGCCCTGCATCAAACATTCTTCCAACTTGCGTCCGACAGGATAAAATTCAACATGTTCCCATATGGAACAAAAATCGTACTCATTGTAAAAGGCCAAATTGGAAATTCCAAACATTTATTGGATGTGAAAAATGCGCTGTAGCATCATGTCTAAATAAGGATAGAAATTGTTTCAAAATTTCTAATACAACATAAATTAGACAATAAATATACATGTAGAAAATATTTGATATGTCATTTTTATTTAAATTTTCGTCGCGATTTTAATTTTTATAAAGTCTGAATATGATTAATTAGAATTAAGTTTCAATAAAATTTTGATTAATGCCATTATCTTCTAAAGACAATAAATAATTGAGTATTTTATGACAGTATTTATTAATTGTATAATTGTAAATTGTTTTTTTCATGTGGTTGCATTTGAGTGCTAAATGCATGACGATGCATATATGCATCAAACCTAAAATTTCAAAAAATAACCAATAAAAAGTGTTAAATAATTTTTTTAATATTTTTCCATGTTTATTTTTTATTATATATCCATATTTCGATGGCCATAATGAAAAAAAAAAGTTTGGTAAAAATATAAAAAAATCATGCATTGAAGGGTTAACAAAATCTCTCATGCAGCGGCACCTGGACATACGAGTTTAATTCGTTCCGTAACCTTGCTCGTATGTCAAATTGCTCGTATCTCAAAGCAATTTTCCCCATTGAAATTAATTGAAATGTTATTAATTCGCGCCAACTCCCAAAACACCACCTCAGTTGTTTTTGTTAAGTGTTTTTGAATAAGAAAAATGTATTTACAAGAAGAAACATTTATTTATAAATAACAAATACATATTCTATAAAAGCATAATTAAAAGAAAAAGTGAAGTGCTTATGGAAGAGTTTAATTTTCGTCACGCTTTCCTCATTTTCACCTGCAGATAGTTTAAAAAACTGTCCAAGGAGGTTTGTTTCTTCCTCCCTTTCAGGATATTGCGGAAATGAGTTAGGCAAGTTCTTTGAACAACTCCGATGCATGACCAGTTGCAACTTTGCATCCTCGCTAAGTAAATTACTCGCACACCTTGCTCATGTTTTTCTATGATTTCATGCTTTAATTCAATAGACATCATCTTCTTTTTAGGATCCATGGTTATAAAAATAAATGTGATAATGTTTTGTAAATGTACAAAAAGCAGAAAACGCGAACCCAGCTTATCAAAAATGCTTCGCAAACGAGGGAAACAAGCACACAGACTGATGTCTAGTCTGAGGTGGGAGTTCGCATGTTGCGGTCGTGTGCAGCGGTGTAGTGTGCAATTCTCGTATCTCAAATCTTGCTCTCATCTCAAAGCAAAATATCGCTCGCTCGGCGGCTCGTATCTCAAAACATTCGTATATCAGGGCACTCGTATATCGAGGTACCACTGTATTTCTAAATCCCAAATCTCAGAATTAAGGTAAAACGCTTTGTTAAAAGACAAAGACTTTTCATTTTATTAATCTTACTACTTTCGAAATATCTTTTTGTAACTGGTATTTATAAAAGTGCAGAGATGCATATGTTGCATTGAATCTTTCTTTGCTGTTCACGTAAAAGTTTTATCTTTAAGTGTCATTATACTTTGCGTGAAACCATAAGACACGTTTGTCAGTTCAGGCCGTCAAATGGCTCTTCAATTTAGGAATGCTTTGTCCTATCAGTTTAACATTAATAAATGTAATATTTTAAGATACATAGTTTCGTTTTTCCTTAACATCATGATACGAAAAACCTTTTAAATGTTTTATTTAGGTTGCGGAGAAGTATGAGTTTACGAGCTATCTTGGAGCGGCTAAAGATGGAACACCGTTGCGTTACATAGCTCTTGGCAGAGGAGATTTTTACGGTTTGTATTCACTCATCCTAATATGCTAAAATGGATTTAACAAAGTCTCTTCTAAGATGCTAATAATTTTGTATTTAAAGGACGTAAAAGCATTTTACATCAATGAAACTTCCTAGCAGAATTATAAAAATAACACTTTTATTTCCCTCTTTATGTGCTGCAAGTTTGGTTTCATTTACTTGAATATGGCAAAGCGCTCGAGGGCTATCTGCATTTGGGAGGGATGCCTTCACTGAGGACTTGCTAATCTTTATGTTTTGCAATAGTACACTTAGCAATATTTTTCTTTTTCAGGTTTCTTAATGAGCATGTCAACTTTTGATATCCTCTTGTATTGCACTTACTTAATTGAGCATGATGTTCAAAGAACAATAGAGCAAACTGAAAAGGTAAGTCATTTATTTCCAAATATTATATTTTCGCCTTCACTTACTATGTTACTATGGAGCTAAGCCCACAAACCCTATGTGCATATTTTCAAACTTCGTACAGTGATAATTAAATCATTTATTGGTAACTTCTATTTTTTTTATTTTTATTATAATTTAAGGCATTCAATCTTAATATTTTCTGCAAAATTCTATAAAAAATTTCTCTGCTTTAACCATGCATAGGTTAACCATCAAGTTTTAGTCTTGAAAGACCTATGACTTTTCTAAGAAGATTAGAAGTATGTGATTTCCTTTACCTGCTCCATCGACAATCTACGTCAATTACAAATGTATAAACGTATTCTGTTTAATCTAAAAGCAAGTTCAAAAATAAACAACAGTCTTCCAGCAAAAGCAAGAGAAATATATATACGTGCTCCTTTAACACTTGATCTAGACAAAATCCAATCTAAATAACACATGCACTTTAATTCCAGCGACTTCATTTCAAAAACTTTAAATGTTTAATAAAATTAAACTGTGAAATATTACTCTGATAATATTTATTTTTTTACCACTTATTTCAAATGCCCAGAAGATTGTCTATGTCGCCATTACATCTCTAGCCTTCCAATATTTCTGAACTTTACAGTTTAAATCTACAAGTGCAGATCAGGAGTTAAGTAGATGAGTAGCATCAAAGGTTTGATGCTGTCCGCAAAGAGAGGAGAGCCACAAAGCCCAAGCCAATACAAGTATGCTTGGCAGAAAGTTATGGTCTGCAGTAAGGCGGAAAAGGGCCACAGCTGCACTTTTAAAAAAATCTGGGATCAACTGTGTATCCTCAAGCAGTGAGGCTCATGAATTACCGGCAGAGTCACACAGTGCCCTCTGCTTTATCCTGGAGACATATCTTCTTTTTATCAGGAGTGCGACTGAATGAAATGAGAGGCATTTTAATTATCTCTGGAGGACCCTTGCGCCCTTTTTGGCAAAAACGTTGACAGGTTGTTCCCAGGAATCCATCAGTGAGCTGGGATCCATTGGAAAGAAAAAGAGATTGACGTTGAGATCTCTCTGCACTCCAGTATATGAGTATTATCTGTGTATTGTCTATTTGAAAGAGATTGATTGAAGAGTAGGCAAGGAGTCTGACAAAATGACGACGGGCGGATAGCCAGCTGCTTTAATGCGATGTAAATAGTCTCAGTTTCGCCATCATAATGGGTGGAATTAGCACCTATTGGTACATAGCAGGAAAAAAGATACCAATATATATCAGCTTCCGCTCTATCTTCATCGTTAAACATTGATCTATCTGTGTAGACATGTAACCATGTGTCTCTAGGGTATTTGTTTTCAGTGGTTAGATAGAGCAATCGTAAGAACCTCCTGTTCGCTCATATGACTCTTATTAACCTGCATGTCCAGCTTCAGACACGCCGAGATCTCTCCCTATGCCAAAGAGCAAACAGGCCTACAGAGAAGTGGACAACTGAGGTAAACATTCATGTCACTGGTTTCAGAATAAGCATATTGTATAAACCCTTTTTGAGGTTTAAGGTTTCTCTCTGTGTTGATGTCATAATCGCTCCAAAAAGTATTGTTGGCAGGCGAATCAGATTTTCATAAAGAAGAACTGAATTTCTTTCAATTATGTTTCTTATTGGAGGGTTTTGTCTTAAACACTGCATTGCTAGAACAGGAGTGGTCCTTACAGCGTCCGTAATAATATGGAGAGCTTGGTTTTGAACAGTTTCGCGTTTTTTAATGGTACCAGTAGCAGCAGAGACCAGAACTTTGTTACAATAACTGAAGACTGGATGAATAAAAAGCTTGAAGGTAGTATCCAAAGTGTTTAGTCTGCAACTCCATTTGCAACCAGCCAACCTTTTAAGAATAGGAAGTCTTTTAACAATTTTTTCGCATACGTGATCAATATGTCTGTTCTAACTCAACTTTGAATCAAGAATGCATCCTAAGTACTTCGTGCTTTCTATTCTTTGAGTTGCCGTACCCTGCAATTTAAGGTTAGGTACAAAAGTTTGCCTATTTAAGGAGAAACAGGTGGCAGGTGGTGTTTGATTTTTTGACAGACATGGCATTGCCAGAACAACAGAAACTGAGTTGCTCAAGTGCTTCATTAAGTGTATAGTTAAGCTAGTCTTGGGTGTTCTTTGGCTCACTCTCCCACATTGCCAGGTTATCAGTAAACAGCATTGTTTTTATCCCGGGAGTCTTATGATATTGATAGACAATCTATATGCAGATTACTTTTGGAATATTTATAAACGGACCATAATAATTAAATAATGAGATCGTCAAGCATTTGGACAAACTCATAACAAACATTAAGATTTATGGAACTGAATTTATGAATGGAATATTACAATGAATTCAATTATCCGAAACTAAACAAAAATCAATTAAATTCATTACCTCCTAACTAAAGCAAGTACTGTAGTTTACTGCATAATTATACGTGAACACTGATTTGTCATTGTTCGTAGCAACATACTAATAAGTGCTACGTTGTTACGTTAGCAAATCTTTTCTGAACAATTATCTGACTTCATTATCCAATTAAGCGCATTCAAAACCTAAAATACCTGCCTAGAATTGATAAAATAAAATATTTTTGAGCAACAAATCTCTTTCCCTGTACCTTCGTTCTGCCTCATAAATTGCATTCAACATCCGTAAATGCATATGAAATATTTTTGAGCAACATATTTCTTTCCCTGTACCTCAGTTCTGCCTTCCAAACTGCATTCAACATCTGTAAATGCATGTGAAATATTTTTGAGCAACAAATCTCTTTCCCTGCTACCTCAGTTCTGCCTTCCAAATTGCATTCAACATCTGTAAATGCATATGAAATATTTTTTAGCAACAAATCTCTTTACCTGTACCTCCGTTCTGCCTCATAAGTTGCATTCAACATCCGTAAATGCATATGAAATATTTTTGAGCAACAAATCTCTTTACCTGTTACCTCAGCTCTGCCTTCCAAATTGCATTTAACATCTGCAAATGCATGTGAAATACTTTTGAGCCACAAACCTCTTTGCCTGTTACCTCATTTCTGCCTTCCAACTTGCCTTCAACATCTGTAAATGTATACGAAATATTTTTAGCAACAAATCTCTCTTTACCTCTACCTCAATTCTGCCTTCCGAATTGTATTCATCATCTGTAAATGCATGTGAAATATTTTTGAGCAACATATTTCTTTCCCTGTACCTCAGCTCTGTCTTCCAACTAGCCTTTCACATCTGTAAATGCATATGAAATATTTTTGAGCAACAAAGCTCTTTACCTGTACCACAATTCTGCCTTCCGAATTGCATTCATCATCTGTAAATGCATGTGAAATCTTTTTGAGCAACAAATCTCTTTGCCTGTTACCTCAGTTCTGCCTTCCAACTTGCATTCAACATCTGTAAATGCATATGAAATATTTTTGAGCAAAAAATCTGTTTCCCTGTACCTCAATTCTGCCTTCCAAATTGCATTCATCATCTGTAAATGCATATGAATTATTTTTAGCAACATATTTCTTTCCCTTTACCTCAGTTCTGCCTTCCAATTTGCGTTCAACATCTGTAAATGGATGTGAAATATTTTTGAGCAACAAATTTCTTTCCTTGTACCTCAATTCTGCCTTCCAAATTGCATTCAACATCTGTAAATGCATGTGAAATATTTTTGAGCAACAAATCTCTTTCCCTGTACCTCAGTTTTTCCTTTCAAATTTCATTCAAAATCTGTAAATGCATATGAAAAAAACAAACTCTTCATCGTCAAAATAATTAAAGATATGCATATGAGTGAGATTACTATTTCTGTTGTCAGTGAAATTTGGATAGACACAGATGATTTCATAACACAATAATGTATTGTTCACAGAGTTGTTTGTACACTGAGACGTATTCTTAGATGAGTTTTTGTTTTAATAGTAAATGGGAAACTGCACCGTGACAAAAACCATATTGCATGAGATAAAGGATTATTTTTTCGTTAAAAATGTTTCCGCTCTCTAGTTTTATTGTTTGTATGAAAGTTTTCTGAGCTGTTGGAATAAATTTTGGGGTTATCATGAAAAGATATACATATATAAAGAGTTATGTCTTGTCATTAATATTCAAAAATGAGAAATCTTTTACACTTGAGCAGTAATTATTTTTTCTTTTACTTCATTTTTGATGTCATTTTTCGTTTTTTAAAGCATTGTTACTTCATCTCAGTGGAATATATTTCATGCATATTTTTTTCTTCATTTTAAAATGTGTTGTCATAAGTATTATATTTGTCGTTTATTCTTATAATTTTTCTCTTTTGTTTACTGTCTAGTACATCTTTGATTTTATTTCTTAAACTGATTTCTCTTATGTATTCGTCTTATTAAAAAACAAAAAGCTAAATAAAAGAATCTATTGGTGAACTTCTAGTGGCCCTTAATTTAATTTTATTTAATTAGAGCAAATTTACTTCACCATTTCCCCATATCTTGTAAAAAATCAAAATAAATTGCTGAATTTTAATTTCCTCTAAAATCAAGAATCTGTAATGCTATTATTTCGTAAGCTTTCATTTCGGGAAAAATTTAAAACACTAGTGAAGTTAACTCAGGTTATGAGAATTGAGCTAAATATGTACGTGGAAGTAATAAATAATAAACTTTAAATTTTAGAGCACTAATTAATAAATTTACGAGTTTTCAGATTAAAAGCTATATTTGGGCAGAGAATGCATTCTTCTTTTCCTCAGCACAAATATTCGTTCGTTAGTATTTTTATCCAATAGCGAGAGCTAGCCATTATAGGCTTTGGACAATGCTAAGGCCGAAAGCGGTGGTCACTTTATTATGGAGACAGCTACAATCTGTCTATCGTAAGAAAAGCTCTCGCCAGTTAGTCTGCAGCTGTCTGTTGCCGTAGGAACGAGCCTTGATCCATTTTTCGAAGGGGTGTCTCGAAGACGAAAATAGCTCTTTTCCCCTCAGCCAACAGTCGCCAGAAACAAAATAACAATAAAGCAATCCTTGGTTCGCCACAACTGCATAAACCCTACTTGAAATATACATTGTGGCAAGAGATGTTTTTCTCGTAAACAGACAGTACTAGGTGTGCCACCACTAAGCGTGACACACAATTTAAATCCATACTTTCTCCGAAATTCATTCGGACACGGTCCCGTTGGTACTGCAGTCACAGTTACTAATACAAGGATGGGCAAACTTTTTCGGTCACGGGCCATAAATCGAAAAAATAAAAGTTTGGCGGGCCAAGATAAATTTTTCTAAAATTTTAAAACAATATACAAATAATACAATTTGAATATTTTAATGAGATGAATGAAATTGGGATTTCATTTTTAAAAGTTCCTTATATTGAGGTTCGAAGTGAGATGTACTGATTCTAAGGAACGAGGCTTAATGCTCATCTGTCAGTATACTTCTAAAATAATTTTTTCTAAGGTTCATAGTTGAAAACACTTGTTCACATATATAAAATGAAGCAATTATGGCATTGATTTTCTGTGCGTGACATATTAAATTTGGGAAACCTACTTTTGATAATGATTTGTAAAACTCTAACTTTGGTATGCTTAGAAACAAGTGCTTGAGATGATTGTTAGATTGCAACTCAATTAATTCAAGCTGCAAATTTGACCTTGCTGCTTCACAATTTACGTTGTAAGGCATGGTAAAAGCATCGTTTGATGGCACTGAAATCTTGAAATCTGCTTTCGAACTCCAAATGCAGTTTTTTTTTCAAGCCATTTTTATAATTCTAAAGCTTTTCTTCATTTACTGAGGTTATTGAATTTAACCTCGGAAAATGAGACAAGTCGTTCTTAGCTAGCTGCCCAGCAAATAGATAAAGTTTTAGTTTCAAAGCTTTGAGATGAGCCCATATATCGCCGAAAAATTGATTTCCCCCTTGCATCTAGAGAAAGTAAAAAGATCATCAGGCCTTTGAAAAAAGGGAAGAGAAAAAATAATGTTTAAACAAAGTAGAAAAGGAGATGGATATATAATATATAAATATATATTTCTTTTAATTTGCTCGCAAATTAAAATTCTATCCGCCGACCGGATAGAACCGTCCTGCGGGCCGCAGTGCGCTCGCAGCCGTAGTTTGTCCATCCCTGCACTAACCCCTTCCCTGTATAGGCAGCCAACGCTACAAGAGTTAAATATACATAAAATGCATTTGTATGTGTTTACTGTAAAAGTGTTTCAAATCATAAATTTTACATTTTAGTTATTAATTTAAAAGGTGCCGCCCAGAGGTGCCGCCCAGATAATTAGGGAAGCCTTCTGCGGTATAGAACCAAGGTTCGAATCCCGGAGAAGGCATGGATGTTTGCAAATATATAGTGTCTTATAGCTAGTCGAAAGTGCTCTCGTGTGGTTTGGTGGTAGGCGAGTTGGGTGGGAGAACCTTGGACCACCCCCAAGGAGTGTTCTTCCTCAAAACTGGGGTGGAAATAGTTCTAACTTGTTCTAACTTGTTCTTCATCAAGTTCAGCATCCTTGATGCTCTGGCAACCATTCTTCCATGAATAATTGGACAAGACAGCAAGCTATCATACTAAAGGCTAATGTATGAACTGATGCATGAAAGAAATTTGAATAATGCGTCACAAGAAACTGAAAGCTTTCTTTGCCAAATTTATTTATAATTTTGTAACAATATGTCCTTTTTCTAAATTACTAGCAGTTTTATTCATATTTAATTCTCTTTTCAGGTTGGAAGAGAAATCAATGAAATAACATATATTTTTGACTTAGAATACTTTTCTGTTCATCAGTATGCTCATGCCAGCGGTAGGTCAGTTTCAGTATATATTTCATAAATAGAATAAAACTTTTTATACAGTGATGTCATGTTTTAATTTAACTTTTGCATTAATGCTGAACTATGAATAAAAGCATTTTAGATTTGTTTGCGCAGGTATTTACAGCTTTAGATCTGTTTGCGTAGGTATAAAAATCTTTATTCAGCGATGTTATGTTTCAATGTAGTTTTAGATCTATTTGCGCGTGATTTACACTTTTAGATCTGTTTGCGCAGGTATAAAAAATCTTTATACAGCGATGTTATGTTTCAATGTAACTTTTGCATTAATGCTGAAATATGAATAAAAGGATTTTAGATCTGTTTGCGCAGGTATTTACAGTTTTAGATCTGTTTGCGCAGGTATAAAAAATCTTTATACAGCGATGTTATGTTTCAGTGTAACTTTTGCATTAATGCTGAAATAGGATTAAAAGGATTTAAAGATTTAGATCTGTTTGCGCAGGTATTTATGCACTTTTCTTGACGGCTTTATTAATTCGAATCCAAGAATATTTAGAATATAGCTTCCTATTACGTTTCTTTTGAACTTCATGGAATTTTCATATTGTTCCATATGCTGCATAAATACAGTAAAAATCACACAGACGTGGGAAAAAATATATCTTAAAAGATATGATCAGAAATGGTAAATTAACCCAGAGAGCTTTTATGCATTTGTCTTTAACTTACTCACATACTTAAATCCTTACAATATTTAAATCCACACGGATCTCCTTGCTCGGTTGGAATACCGAAACAACTTGTAGAGTTCCTCACTTTGGAATTCTAAGTTAATGTTGGAAGTGAAGAATCTAAGAACTGATCAGCGAATAATCGCTTGCGTTCCGTGACAAGAAACAACAAGATAGAAGGGTAACCCTTTATTATTCCAATAAGATTTAACAAAACTCCGCCTGCGAGTGTACAAACAAAGCGCACACTTGGGTTTGAACTAAAGAGACTAAGAATTAAACTAAAACTAAGATTAACTAAAAGAAGTATAGCCGAAGCCTTCAAGGTTCAAATCGAGTTGGCCCCTTAACTTATTTGACTACGAAGCTTAGCAAGGGCCTGAGTACGGCCGAGCGTAATAACAGCTTTGAGGGAGAGAGTGGCCAAAAAGGCAGACGCGCGTAAATCAGAAACTCTGATTCTCTCTGACTCAGTAAGTAACTTCGTGGTTTAAATACCGCTCCTCCTCATTAAATATTCAGCAAATTCCAAAACTACGTTCTGGCCGGAAGTAGTAAGTTGAAGTTAAGAATCTGACAGGAAAGGAACTTAAAATTTAACTGTTAACAAAATTAACATAATCTTTACAAACTCAAAAAAGGTCCTTGTTAAATAAGGCAAGAATTTAATGATAAAATACAAGTGAAGAATATTTCGATTCAATTACATTATAATTTAATTCTTGGAGTTATAAAAGCAATCTAAGCAATTTTGTATCTGTTTATAAAGAGAAACTAAATTCTGACTAAAAGTAGTAGATAATTTCGTATAAATTATGCATTATGTCAGCTAAGACTACTTTTGGATTTTATTCTAAGCCTCCATGCATATCAAGCAAAACGACACGGCATACGTTTTATTGAAATTCTAAAAGGTTTCACATTTTATATTACGCCCAAAGGGTAATTTATTTCATTAAGACACACATACATGTTTCGACAACATATTTGGGCTAACACCCTTTTGGACTAAAAACATTTTAAAACATCACATCTATAGAATTTCCGATAAACAGTCTCGCGAGCTGGAAATAAAAGTGTTTTATTCCATACAGTGTTGCCACTGTTCTTTTTGAAATCGTCGAGTTTTTAATAAAAAATTGTAAACGTTTCACAAAATATGAAATAGATTATGAGGCAAATTCGAAATTCAAAATTTGGGCTTCCAGGTACCCACGTTCGGGTGGAGGACTAGGTTATTCAAAATTTTATGACCCTAGGTACCGTTGTTTTTTCACAGTGCGAAAAACATGCATACATTCATGCAAATTCTTAGCTATTTAATTTGGTTAAATATAATACAGGGCGATAATATTTGATGGCAACAATTCGAAAAGTGATTCAACGCTTTTAGACATTCGAAGCAAAACGCCATTAGGAAACTAATATGCCTTCTGGGCTAATGACATTTGGATTAAAAAGAAATTAGAGGGGAAAAAACGAAAACATGGCGAATTTTTTGCTCCTTCTTTAACCATTTAACTACTTCCTGAATAATTAATAAGATATTTTTTCCTTAAATAAGTGGCTGGTTGACTTTAAGAAAACATACACCAAATCACTTTTTTACCGGAAACTGTATATATTTTGAAGAAATACATACAGATTTCAGTAAAAGCAGCGTTTCTTTAAGACTTAATTTAATTTCAATAACTCTACCTCAGTTTAGCAAATGCTAATCCACTCGTAGGAGTTCAAATGTGTAGTTCTAGGTAAGTTAAATTAAAACTTGCTATTTGCTAGCCTTTTTAGTATTATTTTATATTTTGATAGATTGTATATAGTTTATTTTAGGTTTAAATGCATAATTCGTGTAGGGAAGTTTTCAATAGGCAAGAGTTTCTAAATTATTTTTCTAAAAAATTTGTTTTTCTCTCTTAATTATTTAAACATTTAATTAATATTTTAATTCCTAGTCATTTACTTGCTAAAAATTCCTACTAGTTTAAATTTCTTTTTTTAGTAATTCACAACATTTGGTTTTACTTTTGGTTTTGAATTTTACTATACGCTTGCCTATATGGATGACGAAATACGAATTGAGTAATTGAACAGTTAGGTTTGGAGGCAGCTTTCCCTTGATAAGTCTGTCTCCTGCCTGCTCAACAATTATTATCTTACGCAAATTAATTTGCTCTTAAAAATTCATTAAAAAACTTTTACTTAAAAAAACTTATTCATAAAAAAAATTCTTGAGAATGGGCCTTAAAGAAGTTTTAAAAAAATTTAAAAAGCAAAGAAACGAATCTGGGCTTGTGCAACTAGATTGAAAATTATAAAAATAAAATATAAAAGTTGGAATGAAAATGAATAAAATTCTGTTCTTGCTATATGAAGGTCCAACTTTTCTACTCTGGGAGAAAATTTACCAAACTTAATAAACTCGAATTAATGAAACTTTTAAAAACGGATTCTTTATATGAAAATTACAATGTGGGAAGGGAAAACGTTTTTAAAAATTACAGAACGTTATATATAACAACACAAAATAATTTTTATTAATATCCTCTGTTTAATGTTTCAAACAGAACTCATCAAGGGAAAAGTGTTTCGAAGCCTTAAACCAAGTTGATTAATGAGTTCCGAATACATGTTTCGCTCCTCTGAATCATTTGAGACTCAAAGCCGCTTTTAAGTATCAAACTTTCATTTTAAAATAAAATTCTAAAAATTCTAAAATGTTCAGGTCTTTTCCCTACATGCCTTTGTACTCAGTTTAGACAAATAATTATACACAAATGATAAAAAAAAACTTAAACATAAAAAACCTCAAAAAGCTAAAACAAACTAATTACAATTCGACCTGCATAAAAACTTAAAAATCTAGATGCCTAAATTCGCAAGCACACAAATGCATAATGTAACTATCTCATATTGTAATGATTTTTTTTTATATTTCAGTTATCGAATTGGGGCTGGATATGGTAAAAAACGTGCAAGATTATTATCCAGAAATTTGGAAGAATATACTTGCAGTTAACGGTATATGTGTAAATTTTTATTCAGCACTTTTCTTCTTTACCTTTTTATCTTATAGTTTTATACATGTTATTATTTTAATTATTTTTATGTTTCCAAGATTGCATTGATAACTTAAAAGCAATGACATTATAGCTATTGTTTTATTTAATAACAATAATATTAATGATAATAAAAGTAATAACATTAGTGTTTCTTAAATCGATTTTATAAATATTTCTGGCAGATCAAATTCCAACTTGAATTTACTGGAATTTTGAATTTGAAATCATCGCATGTTTTTATGTACTTTCCATTTTTATGCTATAATTTTCCACTGGATTATTTCAATTTTCATTTATATAACATTTTTTTTGTCAATGGTATTAAAGTTTTGTTTTAATATTTGTACTTATATTTAACACTAATTTAATTTTGTTTTCCTAGTTTATTAATAGTAGCATTTTTCTGTTCATTCTGTGTTATTAAATTTTTTAGCTGCCTTTGTTCTTTTTTTTTTCTCCTCAACGGACTCCGGTTTAAAATGGCGAATTTTTTGGAATCGGGAATAATATATTTAACGTTTGGTAATGCTATTTTTATTTCATCATAAAACTTCGAAATTTTTTATTAACATATTCTAGGATTTGAAAGCGAGCTGTTGCAACAACTATCGAATTAAAGCAGATTTTCATCTCCAGCTTGCGAGACTGTTGCCACTCGGAAAAATGAGGGCGGAAATTATCGTTCTTCCGAGTTTTTAATGAATATCTCTTATTTTAGCTACTTTGTTTCGGAAAAGAAGTGGACATCGACTTTTTACAGAACCCAGAAAAGAATTGTAGAAAGTGTTGTGACGGCAGCTGTAGTAGTGACTGAGTTATTAGAGGATAACCAAACACACAGATCTTCTTCTTTATATATAAACATTTTATTTTTTAAAACCTTCTCAAGAAACGAATGAATAAATTCATTTAAAAACCTCCTCAAAAAATCAAAAAGAAAAAAAAAATTCTGAAGGATTTTTCATTACTTCCAAAGGGGCATTGGTTTAACATTTTGTGTGTTACTTTTATTTATTAAGTATCATGTTCTTCGCACTTAAATCATAAAATTCAGTTCAACAGCAATGTCGCAAAATACTTTTAAAATGAGCCTATCATTAGAATTTCCAATACACAGTCTCGTGCGCTGGAGATAAAAATATTTTTTTCTGTACAACGTTGCCATTACTCGCTCTGAAATTCTTGAGTTTCTTAGTCAAAAATTCGTTGAACGTTTACGAAATATGAAATCATTAATAAAAACAAATTCCAAATTAGGGCTTCCAGATGCCCATATTATTCGGTGGAGAATTACGTAATTCAAAATTCGATGGCTCTAGGCACCTTTGTTTTATCACAATGCGAGAAACATACATACATTTACGCAGATTCTTCATTATTTAATTTCTTTAAATATAATACATGCCTATAATATTTGGTGACAGTAATTTGAAAAATGAAGCAATGTTTGTAGTCAATCGACGCAAAATACCAAAACGAAGTTAATAGTCCTTCTGGGTAAATTGCCCCTTTGGACTAATAATACTACTTTTAAAAATAACTTTAAGTGACAAAATTAAGAAATGCTTAGGCCGTTAATTTTCGAACCATTAAACATTTTTATAAACAATTAAAATAAAAATCAGAAAAAATAAAGAAGTATCGGGGAAATATACTAGATCAATCAAAACTACTTTTAAATATGCTCTCATCGGGGGACGAAGGCGTGTTTAAAGTAGACTTAATTATAATTTTAATTATTAATTTTTGTCTTATTATATTTTTAATTATAATTAACACACACATATATATTAGGGTTTCCATTAAAAATCAGTTAGTGCTCTTTAGGATTAACCAGTTATTATTAATAATAAGCACGTCGTTTGGTGAATATGATAAATAATGCATAATATTCACATTTACTGGAAAATAACTGCCAATGAAGTTTGCTCACTGTGATTAATTAAGCATAAGAGATTGAAGCCTCAAATTCTAATGTAATTTTCTAATGTTATACGGTATAAAATGCATGAAAGTATATACCTTAACAGTTTTATTAGCAATAAAATTCGTTTAATGTAAAAATAAAGCATTATAATAATGATTACTTTTGTTTATGAAATATATATGTTTGGGTATTATCTGATTACGTCATACAAGTGAGATAAGCCATAAAAAATATGTTTATTTATAAAATATATTCATTAATTTTTACATAAAAGAATTACACTACCCACAAACACCTTAAATGAACAAAAAATTTGCAAACCAATTACATTACAGATTAACGTTATTCCATTTTTTAGGAAACAGCAAATTACAAACAAATTACGTTATAAGTACAACATTATTACATTTTTAACAAAATATTTATTTCGGAAATAAGACCGTCTGTGGCATGCAAACAAGGATAAAAGAAAAATCTTATAAAATTTTTATACACAAAAGCAGTTAAGCTGAAATAAAAACCATTTGATAACCAGGAATGAGGCCCTCCTAAAATTTTATTGATTTAAAAATAAAGATACAAGGAAAAAAAAGCAAAATTTAAAAAAAAAATCTGAAAGGTTTCAGATTTTAAATTACGTCCAAAGGAGCCTTTTTTTAAACATTTTGTGTGTTACATTTATTTATTAAATATCACGGTCTTTCCACTTAACCATAAAATTCAGTTCAAGAGCAATATCTCAAAATAGTTTTGAGCACGATAAAATTCATTTTCATTCAAAAATTTTGGAATTTTTTATCAAACTTTTGAAGGGCTATAGGAAATTGGGAGAGGAATTTTCAGCCCAAAGGAATGTTAATCCAGAAGGGCTATTAGTCTTGAAACGGGATTTTACGTTGAATCACTATAAAAGTCTTAATCTATTTTCAAATTGTTGCCAGCAAATATTATCGCCCTGCACTGTATTTAAAGAAATTAAATAGTGAAGAATATGCATGAATGTATGCGTGTTTCTCGCATTATGAAGAAACGAGGGTACCTAGAGCTATCAAATTTTAAGTAATGTAGTCATCCACCCAAAAATTCGCAACTGGAAGCCCGAATTTTGAATTTCGAATTTGTTTTATTATTTATTTCATATTTCGTAAAACTTAAAAAATGAATTTTTGATTAACAAACTCTATGATTTCAGAGAGAGCAATGGCAACACTATACGGAAAAAAACATTCTTATCTCCAGCTCGAGACTATCTATCAGAAATTCTAAACATATGCTGTTTTTAAATATACGATTTGAATTTTATGCGATTTAAGTGCGAAGAACATAATATTTAATAATGGTAACACATAAAACGTCACAAAATGCTCCTTTGGGCGTAATATAAAGTCTGAAAGCCTTCAAATTATGGAGGGGGGAGCATACAGGCCGCCTAGGTCTATTTATGCCACTGTATAAAAGCTTTTTGGGCAAATAAAATCATTTCTTGTATAGAGGTGGTCTAAAATGTCATTTTCTGTGCCTAGTTATAACGTATTAGATAACAGTTTCCTCTGATATAATAACAGCTGTAATCGGTAGTGTAATCAGTCTATTCTTGTCCAAACGTTTTGTCCTACATTTTTTGTTAGAAGTTTTACATCGAAAGCCGTAAAATGCTTTCCGGTTGCTGATTTAGAGAGTGTTTAGTAGAGCTTCGAGCATCTTGTATGTTTTCTGAAACTTCATGGGAGTACAGAAGAAGAATTTCCCTTGCTTTCTTCATAATCCTTCATTTTAATAACAATGCATATTTTTGCTTTTCTCTTTACATCACCACTCTTTTCTATTTCAGAATTATGTTTTCTGGTTCTATTCGGCCAGCTGTTTTATTTCTGCCTTTTCGTAGACATTGAACATTTATTATTTTCAACTCTTCACACAAGTCATCCAGTTTCACATTATCATCATTATTCATCATTATTATGTTTATCGTTATTTCACAGTGTCATCATTATTATGTTTCACATTCATGGCACCTACATCTGCATCCTGAGTTAAGATTACTGTTGAACTTGAACATCATTATTAGACTGCTTTCTTAAAGCTGCAAAATCTTCCCCTTAGGTATTTTTTGGAAGCAGGCATAATGAAAAATCAGCAAACGCCTTCGCCGGGAATCGAACCACGGACCTCTGGAATACCGGCCCAGGGTGCAGAACCACTATACCACGAAGGCACGCTAGGAAAGCGGGAGACATTCCTTATACCATAAACAATTTTGAGTTCTTTACACATTTTACAAGCTTCTTAAATAATTTTATTAGCAAATTCTCGGCCATTTCACTTTACAAAACGCACGATGCTCACAATTTTTTGGACACTTATTTATATTGATGCGCCGCCCATTGGATATAGTGGTCAGGGAAGCTGACTGCGATGCCGAAGTTCCTGGGTTCGAATCCCAGAGAAGGCATGGTTGTAACTGTCCGTCTCTTCATAGGAAAGGCGATGGTTTTCCACTTATTAGGTGCCTCCATAATAAAGAGACCACCACATCCGGCCTTGTATGAATTAATGGACTGGGTTACATTTGTAATTGTTCCCAATCTGCCATTGGAAAAAATTATATTAATGCGCTGAAGATGGCGCTGAAGTGAAGGTCTGTGTTTACTTCCACGCCTATCGAATTAATTTCCACCTTTTCGTTGCCCTGCGTTGGCAACACGCTTTTGAGATTTGTCGTTCGTAGAATTCGGTCGCTAAAAGCGTAGCTGACCTGTAACGGTTGTAATTCTTATTCTAAAGCTTATCTCTATTGCTGAATTATTACTAAATGTTTACGTATAATGTTTTATTACTAAATGTATTCAGTTTGGTTTAAAGAGACCGAGAGTGATTGAATTTATTAAGGATATTTAAAATCGAAACTACGTCATCCATTTCGGCGCCGTTCTGACACAGGAACGTAAACAGTCTGGAATAGGAAAAAATATGGATGCGTACTTACAAATCTCAAACTGAACGCTTTGAAGATTATTACAGTTACCGTTCACTGTTGGAAATTATTAAGAATTGGTTCATGTGATGAATTCTCATAAATCATTCACTTTAACCAGTTTATTTGGTTATTATTAATAATACACGATTAATTGCATTGACTAAAATTAATATGATTAAAAATGTTTCTCTGCTTTTATACATTTTTAAAGTTTTATTCCATATACACATGAATAAATGCTTCAAAATGTATACCTGAAGAAAGAAAGAATTAATGACTTTTTTGTAAATTGGTTAATTAAAACATCTTTCAACTTTACAGTGCCATTTTTCTTCTATCAAGCATTTAACATCTTGAGGCCGATATTAAGTAACACCCTTCTGCAGAATATTCGAGTTGCATCGAAAGGTAAGAATTTTACTATTCTATTTTCTTTTGAAATTTTTATGAAATCACCGTTGCATAAAGAATAGAAATAGTACCAGATTACTGATGGTACTTCAGCGTGTTATATGTCTGGCGCCGTAATAAACAGGAGGTCTAAGCCAGTCGAATGAAAGGCAAGCTTCGATTGGGTCAAATTTAATTACACATTTTTTTTTAATATTACATTACATTATATTAATTATATTAATATTACATTATATTTTTTTTTTAACAGTACCAAATACGTTTTCAACACGACAAACAAAAATGTCTCCTCCTGTCTTTGCTGCCGACTTCGCAAGTCCCACTTATTTCAAAATGTTACTCTCTTTTTAATTTCTATCAACAGTTTATTCGGTGTTCGCCGAAAACATCGCGAACGAAAACGTCGCGGAGAAAACAACTCAAGGCGAAAATGTCGTGAAACAAAACATCGTCGGCGAAAATAAAGCAAAGAGAATATATCGCAGTTCTAAAACACCGTGGTACAAAATATCGTCGTCGAAAATAAAGTGGTTCAAAACTTCGCAGTTTAAAAACATCGCAATCGAAAATATCGTGATAAAAAATAAAATACCTACAAATCATCGCATGCCGATAACATCGCAGACATGCGTTTTTCATGCTTTAATAACTGTGAAAGGATACTCGCATAACGATTTGTGAGCGCAAGATGAAAGAAAGGATAATATTTAATTTCGTACATTTTTATAAACTGATAAATATTTGCTGAAAATGTAAAATGGAAACTTAAACATAGAAAGTTAATATAAGAATATAATATATTATATAATTAATATATTTGTAAAGATTCTGTACTGTGTACTTCTAAGTTACAGTTGAATGTGGAGAATCTTAAGAACTAGTAAGCGAATAATCGCTTGAGTTCGTGAGACACTAAATAAAACTTGGAAAGTGTTAAATGACCCTCTATTATTCAAATAAGATTTAACAGAAATCAGTTTCAGAGTTGTTCAATAAAGCCGACACTCGGGCTTCAACTTAAGAGACTAAGAAATTAACTAAATCTTAATTAGAAAGATATAGCCGAAGCTATCGAAATTCTAACAAAGTTGGCCTCCTAATGCTAATTGATTGCGAGGTTATCAAGGGCCTAAAGTACGGGGGAGCGTAATAATAGCTTAAGAGAGAGTAGCCTAAAAAGGCGGACGCGTGCTAGCCAGAATCTCTGGTTCTCTCTGACTAAGACAGTAGAACTTCGCGGTTAAATACCGCTCTTCCTTAATTTGCATTCAAACGTGATTCTAAAACTAAGTTCTGACCGGAAGTGGTAAGTTGAAATTAAGAAGTGATAGGAAAGGAAGTTTAACTCAAAATTCAACTGTTAATAAAATTAACATAATCCTTACATAATAATATATAATTAATATAATAATAGAATAGAATTTTAAACTGACATAGTCAACTAACAAAAGTCATCAATAACTTTTTTTTAAATTTTGCTGGTCATTTTTCATGAAAAGTGTAATCTAAAAAAAAAATAAAAAATCTCATGCCAGATCATTTAGTGGTAACAGGAGCAAGAATCTCAGCTACTACAATGCGCAAACGCCTGCACATTGTAAGACGACCATTTGTTGGTGGCTCCTTGACACGAAAGCACAGAGGTGGCCCTTTATGTTGGGCAAGAGAACACATCTCCTGGACCAGTCAACAATTTGGAGTCTTTTTTTCTTCACAGACGAGTCCAGGTTCACACGGAGAGTGATTCAAGTCGTCAGCTGATCTGGAGGGAACAACGTACCAGATGCAACCAATCCCACATCGTGGAAAGACACAGTTACAGAGGTGGTGGAATAATGGTTTGGGCTGGGATCTCTCTCGGTTGTCACAGTGACCTGTATGTGTTTCATAGAGGAACTTTGACCAGTGCGAGATCCTTGATCAATATCTCCGCCCATATGCTCCTGCTATTGGTTCTGGATTTCTTCTGATGGACAATAATGCACGACCGCACCGAGCTCGGGTTATTGAAGAATATGTTGAGTGTCCCGGTATGGAGCGGACGAAATGGCGAGCTCAATCACCAGACCTGAATCCGAGAGAGCATCTTTGGGGCTACGTTGGGAGAATTAGTCGTTGCTTCCCATTTCACTGACCGACCACTTAATTGACAGCATGGAACATCGCTGTCGCCAATGTATTGCAGCTAGGGTCACCTCCGAGGTCGTTAGAGGAGCTTGAAGAAGGATTACTCCGTGTTTGATCTCTACTTCCCATTTCACTGACTGACCACTTAATTGACAGCATGGAACGTCGCTGCCGCCAATGTATTGCAGCTAGGGGTGGACACATTCCGTATTAGAACCCATTTTTGTAATGTTCCACCGCATTTTTCCTCAAAAAGCTGTGATACACTGTTTCTCCAAGACTGAATTTCTCCGCTAAGAGTACAATTTTTTGTTGGAGTTCATGTTTGTGATTAACTTTAGAAATATACTATGTCGCATTCATTAAAGAATTGTTTTAGTGAACATGTTGTGTGAATTTATTGCTTCTACGTTGCTTCATTATCAAATTAGCCACAAGAAACATGCTGTTCCTTAACTTTTTGAGGACAGTCTATTTATGCATTCATTGCCCGAAAACGGTTTTATAATCTCAACTCTGATTCAAAATGTTCTACGGTAACATATCTAAATCTCAGTAAAGCAAAACGGAATCTCAGTTTCACAGAACAAAAAGAAAAATACATAAATTGCATAACAATGTGAGATATAAAAGGATAAAAAGGAGCTTTGATTTGCGAAAGTTTTACATAAACCCTGATTTCAGAAAACTCATTTCTCATGGTTTCCTTTCTGCGCCTTTTCTTCAAGGAGCAAAACATTCTGTGTTAAAGACGAAGGGAAGCTCCAAACAAAGCAAGGACGAGTGATTTTGCGAAACCAAATATAAAATGAAAATAGGCTCATCTTTCCACCAAAGGGGAAAATGAAAGCTGAGATTCAAAAATTTTGAAAGCTTTGGGAAAAATGGTTTGTTGAAGTGTAGCCGTTCGAGAACTGGGTATTTCTAAGAAAACGTGAAAAGCAAATTAAATATCTTATGTTTATCTCAACAACACCTGGAAAATAACAAAGATGATGAATGAATAAAAAAGCAATATTACAGTGCATAAATATTCAAAACACTCCACTAAAGGCATACTTAATATTTCCGAAAGAATAATTACATGAATTTTGTGATAAATACTTTTTGATATATTGCAAATTCCCTGAAAAATAGATGGAAAATTTTCTATTTTAGAGGCCACCCCGGAATTATTACTGGAATACGTGGACCCAGAAGTACTGCCAGCTTTCCTGGGAGGTCAAAGAGTTGATTCGAAAGATGATCCCATGTGCTCCGAATTCGTAAGTTTTTATATATATATATATATATATATATTTATATATATATAAATATAATATATGGAGAGAGAGATGTCTGTGAGAAAATAAATTTCTTTATGAAAAATTTAATATTTACATAATCATTATATACAAAGCAATGATTAATGGCATTCTTTCTATTACATGAAATTTCCTAGTCCATTACAAAATGCAAAATGCAATAGCTGGCGCTTTTTGAAACGATCATTCCTTGCCGTCTCCAAGCTCCGACACTTTCACATCAGAACAGAGGAGCACGAACCCCTACTGAGCGCCATCTAGCGATAGGTAAAAGGCATCTGTTTAAGAAGCAGGCAGCTCATTTCGGCCATCCATTCAAAGACAGGCTCTTCAGCCGACTCTGAAAATATAAAAATACAAAAAGCAAAGACATTCTCAAATTCAAAGTCAAGTTCAAGATATTCAAAAATTCTTGGAAAACGAATGTTTGCAAATTATAAAGCTTTTAACTGTCTTTAAACTCTGAAAGTGACACAATAAGCAGATGTCGTCTTCAAGCTTTATTTGTCATCTTTAAACACTCTTTCTTATTTGGAAAGGTGGTTTGTTATCTCTCTTTCTTCTTCTTTTTTTTTTTTTTTTTTACAATCTGCGTCTGTCTTAGTGATGGCCTTTCATCAGTATTCTGGACTGTATTTCACAGTTTAAGATATTTAGCGCAAGTCGTCGTGCATTTCGATTCTTCATTACTTTCTTTCTTAAGTTATTCTGTAGGGGGTCTAATTCGAAACTTTCAGCGGAATTACTGTTGCGCAGCAGTTTTATTCACTTTTCTTAATTCGGAAATTAAACCGAAACCTTTTCTTTTGCACCTGCAGCCATCTGCCTAGAAATCTGTGCTGACGTTAGTTGTCTTCTCATCTAGAAATTAGAAATCGTTGCAAACTAATGATACTTAGATTCTTTTGTAGTAAGTTTTTGATTTTGAGCTGGCCGCCGCCATACCTACCAGTGTCTTTAAACATTTTTCAGATTCCTGACTTAAAATATTTTCAGAGTCGGCTAGGCGTATACGATTCCATGCTCAGTTTAGTTTTTTTTTTTTTTTTTTTTTTTTTCAGTTTACGGACATTTAAGCACACTTGGTTTGGATTCTTCTACATGTTATGGCTTTGCATGTCCATAACTTCTTGAGAGTTATAAAATGCAAAAGGTGATAGCTGCCAATCCCTCCCAAAAAAAACGTCTTTTCTTTTCTATATCCAAGCTCGTCTCTCTTACATCAGAAAGGAGAAGCGGGTACCGTTACCATCTATTGACAGAAGAGCGCTAGATGCAAGCCCCACATATATCTAAATATACAGATAGATGGACAATTAGTGAGATAAAAAGACGGATATTTTATTTTTCTTTGATTTCAAGAATTGAAGAGCTTTTCTGATGTCATAAGTATGTTTAAATTTTAGATCATTATAGTAAATTTTCATGCATTTTGCTGGGCTATCATGCTTTCATCACCTGCGCAACTAAGCAATTATTACCACTGATTGAAACGTAAAAAATTATCTTCTACGCAGTCTGGAAAAAAGGGCAATTTCCGGAGAATTAGCATTTCGTGGGAGATATAATTTGGGATTTTACTTTCAAATTAGAACTGCCTAAGAAGTGAGCAATTTAAATCTATATCTATGTAAGCTAAGAAACATGTAAATCAAAATTATAACTTAATTTAACACTAGTCCCCTAAATCCTCATTTTAATTTGGTAACATCTCTTCTCTATTCTAAAAATAACTTTTCCTGAACTGCGTTATTTTTATATTTATCCGACCGTATGATTTTTACGTAACGATGACGAGGTAGGTAATTCGGAAATTAAACTGAATCCTTTCCTCTTAATAAGGTTTCATATTGAATAACCATGCACTTTGCTTTCTGCACCTCGGCCTAGACAGACTTCTGATTGCTGCTTCTCTTTTTACTAAAAAACTATCAAAAAGTTAAGAATGTAAATACAGATTATTTTTGTATTTCAAACAGCAATAGCAATGTTTTTAAAATTAAACAGTACTTATTTTCAGATAAAATTCGGTGGTATAATTCCTGAAGAGTACTACTTGTGCAAACAAACTCATTTACAGAAGAAAAATTTCGAAACCGAAACTGTGTGGATTGCAGCGAGATCTTACTACAACCATCCAATCGTTGTCCAAGAAACAGATTCTATAATAAGGGTCGATGTCAGGATAGAAGGCGGCTCTCTTGCTACTACACTACTCTACAGACCATTCGGCAAGGATTCTGCGTAAGTAAAGACTGTTTTGTGTGAACAACAAGAATATTCATAATAAATAAGAATTTATAGCGTCATTAGAACAAGAATTCCAAATAGTAAAGGTAGGTTAAAACTTCCAGTTAGTAAAACGTTTTAAATTAAAAGAAAATTATCTATATTTTAATGTAAAAATTCGCATGATAATTCCTAAAATAACTTACTGAAATAGGTCACTTTTTAATGCCTTTTACTGATAAATTTTAAAAACTTTTATGGATTTATAAAGAAAAGAATGAAAGTTTACCATTTCCACAATTAATGATTCAGTGTTCTGTGTAATGTTTTTTGTTTACAATGACGAAGACAAGCAATTAAAACAACAACTGTAAAATTTCAAGCAACTTGAAGAAAAATTTTGGAGGAAAGTTCGTGGAATATTTTAATATTTTTACTTTTTCATGCCTCAGACATCTTTAAAATGCAGAATTGCCTGTTTCTGCAGAACGTAATTTTAAATAAGAAGAACATAGCAAATGGGATATAAAGTGGTATATGGAAAATTTGGCCTAACAAGAGTTTAGAGATACATACAGAAAATAGAAAGGTGTGTGGTTCACCCTGCCGGAAATCCAAGCTGTACTGGAATTTCAATGCAGTACATTATATTGTCCAGACGATAACAATGTGTATCGTCTGGAAAACATAATGTACTGCACGCTAACAATATGTATTCAGATAGATAACAGATAGAGATTGCAGTGATTCAGGTCGGGGATCTTAGGCCATTCCTTATCTGTTCTAAACGGATTTAAATCCGGAGAGCATTCAATCCCCCCCTCCGCTGGACTCTTTCGCCTTAAAATATAATCGGTATTAATAGAATGCGATGGGGACGAAAATTGCTATTTATTAAGAGAAAGTTTATTATTGATTTTACCCTTATACAACTTGACATAATATCAAGAGCATCAATTCTGCCCTTTCATTCAAAACGGTACCCTTCCATACCATTATTTCACCCCTTCTGTAGCGATGTCTTTTACTAAGATTGCATGTGTTTTACCCCATCCAGATTGTAATATGTTTGGAAGCACTATATCCAAGCAAAAACGAAACTTATCAATAAAAGGAATTGGGTTTCAGTCTGTGGTACTCCAAGCAGAATGATTTCTGCCCTGTTACAAGCAGCTTATTTCACAGCCTGAGTTAATGGGATCCAAACTATATATTTCTTTGCATGCAGCTTTATTTTATGCAACATGCTGCTCATGGCTTATCTGAATAATTGATGTTTTGCACCTGCAGCCATCTGTCTAGAAATCTGTGCTGACGTTAGTTGTCTACTCTTCTAGAAATTGTTGCAAACTAATGATTAGATTCTGTTGTAGTAAGTTTTTGATCTTGAGCTGGCCGCCGCCATACCTACCAGTGTCTTTAAACATTTTTCAGATTCCTGAGTTTCGGCTATATTTATGCTTTTACATACCTGTATCCAGTGGCATAAGTAGCATTCTGTACAGCAATTTTAAATATATACCTGTAAGGATTAACGATTGCAATATATGCCTAAAAATGCAAATGTACACTTTGAAGTGATACGTAGTCTTTAAATGATTTCAACATATGCCTTATAAATGAACGTTAACATCATTATTTTCAGATTAAATTGCATTATAGTCTAGTATATCATTGTCTACATTCGTGTGCCTTAACCTTTTGTAAAACTATACTCTGATTTATTGTAAAACAACACCATAATGATGCCTCGATATTGAAAATATATACTCTCTTCAAGAGCCTTGTTTGCTTATTTTATTTCACTATTTGTAACATTTCATTCTTAACTTTATTATGAACTTTGTGTAACTCAGATGTATATTCGGAATTGAATTGAAGTGCTTTTATTTTGTCTACAGTAGTGTGCATTTTTATTACATTTATCTTTTCATTCAGACAGCTAACTATTGCATTGCACATCATGGGTCTTATCCTTTTTGCTGCCCAGCATTTTATAGAATGTTATCATTGTTATATTTACATTTAAATGCATTTTGATCTAGATGAATATCATTGTCTTCAATAGTGTGCCTGCAGCTTACGTATTCTACATTGAAAAAATGTACTCTCTTCAAGAGTCTTGTATGCTCGTGTTGTTTCCCTATTGGTATCTTTTCCGGCATTACTCTATTTATGTGTAGAACAACTCAGAAAGCGTCTCTTTGCTGAAAACTGTACCTTCCTCAAGAGCCTTGTTTGCCCATGTTGTTACTATTTTTTTTCTTTAAAAACACAATAATGCTGTATGTACTCTCATCCTAGCCATTGGCTGGGGTTTGACCGGAAGTTGTTCAAATCCGATGAGTAAGTGATAATCCCGTGTGGTACCTCGGTCGGGAGCCTGCTCAGTGGCGAGTCGTAGTAGTATTAGTGGTGTAAGTAGACCTCGTGGACCCGTATGCTAAAACAATTATACGTCCTAACCAAAGCACTCCAAATATGTAACAAAATAGTTCAGTACTGCAACTATGTGACAATAAAAACTCAAGAGTTTTTGACAATGAATTTTTCCTGGAGTAACTTAATTACTAAGCAACATAAGTACGTGTTTACATGCTTCTGAGGTGGAACATGATAACTGAATCTTTTTGCAGAAATAATTATGAAATGTCCATATATTTTTTTTGCTCTCTATTTTTAGGTCAAAACAGTTTAAGGAGAGTCAAAACTGGAATCTCATTCGTGGCATCAATTGGTTTTTTATTTCAGTTTGCCTGCTTATGGGGATCTTAATATTACGAAACTTTTCCATTCATCGGTGTTTGTATTGGGCACAAATAAACACATTTATAGAAACGAAAAGCATTTCATGCAAAATGCAGGGTTCAGGAAAAAAATGGAATACATAGAGGTAAACAGAAGGGACCTATATTAACAGAGTATTATGAGGCGAGACACCCACAGTGTCTGTCTGCTTAAGGAAAATAATGCTTTCGCAGAGGACCTTCTAAGGAAATTGGCTAGTATCTACGTTACGCACATTACACTTATAACTCCCAAGCAGCCAGTCCATTCGTTGGAAGTTGAAGGCGGAATAAGAAAAACTACTGATGCTTAAGTGCTTCCTGGGTTGGATTCCTAAGAACAGCGCCAAAAGAATATATCGATGAAAGTGCTCTGATATATCAATGTTCCTTCCAGCACGAAGCCGGCTTTTAATAAAGAAAAGAAAGTTTCAAAGTATTTCTCTTGTGGAAGTTGTGAATCTGGAAGACAATTACAAATCAAATTTAGAGTTTTACCTCAAGATGTGAAAAAAGGAAAATTTATTTTGATTGGTTTACTGTATGAAAATGACTGTTCGAAGCAAATCTATTCAGATTTATTTCTTCAAATATTGACTCTGTGACGTATGCATCAAATTATAAAGTCTTTGAAAAAGACGCCTGCATAGTAATTGAGAGGACTGCCTAAGTAGCAAAATATAACATTTTATATAACATCCCTCGAGTAATACATTTTAATATATCAAATAAAACATTTCATAGCTCTCCTGCGAAATTCCCAAAATCTGATCCTTTTTTTACTACTTACGCACTTAGATTACGCACTGATTTATAACTTAGAGATTAACCCTTAGAAAACCAAAGCCTTCGCTAAGCTGTATGCTTAAAATACGGAAGCATCTGTTCCCGTCCATTACTCTTCTCGTCTCCTTTAATTCGATTAATTATTTGAAAAGGATTTCATCTTTCATTTAACCCTTTCCGGCACGCTACCTTCTAAAGTCGGAGTTTTGATTTGAAAAAAAAGTAGGCAGTCTAATTAGGCCTAGAGGAGTACACAAGTAAAATTTTGTGAAGATTGATGTGACACTGATTGCATAGAGCTTCGAAAAGAGTGCTGAAACGAGCATTGTTGGCAATGAACTGACCGATGAGATGCGGAGAAACAAAGAATACAGACTCTCAGCTGTCCTAGATTATCGGTGAGCCCGGTTTGGGCACACCTAGGGTTCACCGTTTGATTTTAGGCAAGATTTCAAGGTAAAAATTTAAAACTAATATAGAATAAGTAGATTAGCATACAGCTAAAAAATAACATAGAAATTTCTTTTCAAACAATTCGTTTTATACCCTAAAAAAATCTGGAAGATTTCTTTGAAAAATGAGGGTGTTACAAAACTCAACATGGCTAAAATATATGGATTGGTTTGTGTTGAGCTGCCATCTACTATAAATAAAGAGGGTTCATAGTAACTATAGTAACCTATAAATCCTTTTTCCTTCAATTTTTCTGTGCGTACAGAAGGAAATTTTTAGGTGTGTCCAGGCCGTACACACTGTGCACTGTGGCGGAAAGGGTTAAACTTCGACTGGTCTGCATGCAAAATGTAGTTGAGAAATTCCTTAGAGATTTTTTTTTTCTTTTAATCTTGCGTACTTTTTATCAATTATTTTTGTACATTTTATTATTTTTACGTATCGTTTTATTGCGAATAAACTCTGATAGGTTTGAAAAATGAGTGCAAATCTTAATACTGTTTACTAAAGCAATTTTTTTAAGTATTCAACTACTGATAAATTAAGGTTCCCAAATACACCTGTCATTAATGCGGAATCTTCATCTTCAAACTATTAGTTTAATGTGTAAAAAGTATTCAAAAATGAGTAACTAAATTGTATTATACAAGAGTTGAGATTTTGAGATATAATTTGTGGACTTCTTAGGCTTTTTTGAAGTAGGAGAAGTGAAAACTGAACAATGCTCCAGCTGGAACTCGAACCTGGACCTCTCGAATACGCACCGAGTAAATGTGCTAAAGTATGCTACCGTTACAAGTGTGTTACCTTTACACCACAAAAGCATGCTGGAAGGAGGAGAAAATATCTTACAAATTGATCAAAAGTATTTGCTTGCAAACAATTAAATCAATTTGTACAATTATAATAATTTCACTAAAAGTGTACACATTTGTTTTGGACTTTTCCAAAATAATTTTCATATATTTGCAAATGTCAAATTAGTTATAT